AAGTTATCCTTTGCTCTATAATGACCTTCTGTCTGAGGATGGGGAATGCATCTATATATTGATTTCTTTTTGCTTGTGCATGCGTCTAAGTAGATAATAACTTGAACAAGTGGAATTAATTATTTTGGACTTGGATAACATGGGTAGTGCTCTATAAATTTATAATGAATGGTTAAATAAATCTGAGCATCCACTTCACCACGTAGATTTCAGTATGCAGTAATTAAATACAATATATCTGAACAGGAATGAACTGTTTCTAAAAAATAATTTAATACTATTGGTAGAAGATAATACCTTTTCTGCATTTAATGTGTGTTAATTTCTCTCAAATTTAAACATGGAAATCCCTGGTTTCAAAACGTAGCTATTTCTGAGACACTCCAAATAATTTAGGAGAGATTTCCTCTAATCACTATATGAAGGTAAACATGGATTTTCTTTTGTCTATGTCTTTCTAATTGATCTATGTCCTGCTCTATCCTTTGATATCCCTCTTTACTATCCACAATGCCTCCAATTTCCATGTCATCTGCAAGCTTACTAATCAGACCACCAGCATTTTCACCCAAATCATTTATATATATTACAAACAATGCAAGTTGAAGCACTGTACCTTGTGGAACACCGCTAGTCAGTCAGATCTCCAGTCAGAAAACACCCCTCTTCAACTACCCTTTGTCTTCTGCGGCCAAGCCAATTTTGCATCCAATGTGCTAACTCACCATGGAGTCCATGCGATTTGATCTTCTGGACCAGACCACCATGAGATCTTGTCAAATAAAGTCCACTTCAACAACATCCACTGGCTTACCCTCGACAATCATTTAATCAAAAAACACAGTCAAGTTTGTGAGACAAGACCTCCCCCACATAAAGCCATGCTGATTATCCCTAATAAGTCTATTGTTCTCCAAATATAATTAAATTCTGTCTCTAAGAATTTTCTCCATTAATTTCTATACCATTTATGTAACGGTCACTAGCCTATAATTTCCTGGATTAGTCCTGTTGTTGTCTTAAACAAAGGAACAACTTTGGCTATTCCCCAGTCTTCTGGGACCTTGTCTATGGCTAAAGACCATACAAACATCTCTGTCAAGGCCCCAGCAACCTTCACCCTTGCATCCCTCAGTATCCTGGAATAAATTTCATCAGGCACTGGAGTCTTGTCTACTTTAATGTTTTTCGTGACACCTTCTCCTTCTTAATATTGGCCTGCCCCAATGCATCAACAAACCCCTCTCTAAACTTACCATCATCCATGCCTTTCTCTTTGGCGAGTACCATTGTGAAATACTTACGAAGGACCTCACCCAATTCCTTTAGCTCTACACATTAATACCCTCCTTTGTTCTTGAATGAACCTACCCTTTGCCTAGGTACCTTCTGGCTCCTAATATACATATAAAATATCTTGGGAATCTCCTTAATCCTACTTAGCAAGGCCATTTCATGGCCCCTTCTAGCCCTGCTAATTTCTTCTGTTATATTCCTTTCTGCTTTCTTTATTCTCCACAAGGGCCTTGTCTGCTCTCAATTTTCTAAATCTTACATATGCTTCCTCTTTCTTTTTAACTAAACTTACAACATCTCTTGTTATCCAAGGTTCCTGAATCTTGCCATTCTTAGCTTTCATCCTCACACGAACAAGCTGGTCCTAAGCTCTAGTCAACTGGCTTTTAAAAGAATCCTATGTCAGATGTGGATTTACCTGCAAACAGCTGCCCTCAATTCAATTTTTCCAGTTCCTGCTGAATACGTTGTAGTCAGCCTTCCCCCAATTTAGCACTTTCACCCAAGGACCAGTCTTATCCTTTTTCATAACTATCTTAAAACATACAGAATTATGATCACTGTTCCCAAAATGCTCCCCCACTGAAACTTCAATCACCTGGCTAGGCTCATTCCCCAGTACAAGGTCCAATATTGCCCCTTCCCTAGTTGCACTATCTATAGTTTTAAGAATCCCTCCTGAATGCACCAAACAAATTCTATCCCCATCCACACCCTGGCACAAGGAAGTCCCAGTGAATATTGGCAAAATTAAAATTACCCACTACAATGACCCTGTTGTTTTTACATATTTCCATGATCTATCTACATATCTGTTCCTCTATTTCCTGCTGGCTATTGGGAAGCCTATAGTATAACTCCATGATGGTGACTGCACCTTTTTCATTCCTAAATTCTACCCATACTGCTTCGCTAGATGAGGCCTCCAAGATGTTCTCGCTAAGTACAGTTGTGACATTCTCCTTAATCAGTAATGCAACTCCCCCACTGCTTTTGCATCCCTCTCTATCACACCTGAAACATCTAAACGCTGGAACGCTGAGCTGCCAGTCTTGCCCTTCTCTCAACCAAGTTCTTGTAATGGCTACAACATTACTGTCCCATGTACTGACCGAGGCTCTCAACTCATCTGCCTTACCTGTTATACTCCTTGCATTAAATACACTTAAGACCACTAGTCCTGCTATATTCATTAAATTGGCCCTGCCTATTCTTCCTCCTTGATTTACTCAATTTAGCCCCTCTCTTCTCCTCAAACACTCCACATGTTGACCGACTGCTCTGGTTTTCCCACCTCCCTGCCACACTAGTTTATACCCTCCAAGTGGCACTAACAAATCTCCCTGCAAGGATATTGGTGCCCTTCACTTTAAGTGCAACACATCCTTCTTGTACCTCCCCTGGAAGAGATCCCAATGATCTGGATATCTGAAGCCGTCCTTCTTTTGCCATGCCTTTCAATTGTATTATATTCCTATTTCTGGCCTCACTAATATGGCACAGGGAATAATCCTGTGATTGTAACCCTAGAGGACCTGCTTTTCAACGTCCTACTTAACGTCCTAAAGTCCCTTTGCAGGACCTAATTTCTTTTTCCCTATGTCATCAGTTCCAGTATGGACTACTATCTCGAGCTGCTTACCGTCCCCCTTCAGAATATCCTGTGCCTGCTCAGAGACATCATTGACCATGGCACCGGGGAGGGAACACACCATCCTGGAGTCTTGCTGACAGCCATATAAACACCTGTCTGTGCCCCTGACTACAGAGTCCCCCGCATGCCTATACTTCGACCCTCCGTGCTGTAAAACAGAGGCCAATTGTGGTGTCACAGATCTGGCTGCTGCTGTTGCTTTCCCCTGAAAGGCCACTCCCACCCACTCTCCAACAGTATCCAACGTGGTATATCTGTGTGAGAGGGGAACGGCCACAGGTGACTACTACACTGCTGCCTGTGCTTACTTGTCTTCCTAGTAGTCACCCAACTTTTTTCTGTCTGTGTAGTCTCAGCGATGGTGTGACCAGCTCACTAAACATGCTATCCATGACGTTCTTTGCCTCATTGATGCTCCATTTTCTTGCAGAAGACATGGTGGAGGGAGAGAGTAAGGAGTAAACAATAGAACATAGAACATTACAGCGCAGTACAGGCCCTTAAACCCTTGATGTTGCGCTGACCTGTGAAACCAATCTGAAGCCCATCTAACCTACACTATTCCATTATCATCCATATAAGTGGAGATATAGCCCAAAGAGAGAGAAGAACAGTTGCACAGACAAAGGAGTGGATAACAGTCAGCCTAGGAGAATGCATGGTGGACTATTAGTGGCTAACCATGGGCAGTGTGTATAGCAGACCATGTGATAACAAGGCCTGCTGTGTGGAGGTTAGGATAAGGACAGGGGAGAAGTTGCCTCCAGCCCTAAAATTATTAAAGTCAATACCGAGTCTCAAAGGCAATAGAGTTCCCAAGTGGAATATTTCTGACTCATTCAATGTGCTGTTCTTCCAACTTGCACTGAGTCTTTTCTGGAGCACTGCAGCAAGCCTGAGACGGAGATGTTGGTCAGGGAACAAGGTGGTGTGTTGAAGTGTCGGGTGACTAGAAGCTCAGGGTTTTATTTTTGCAGGCAGAACGTAGATGTTCTGCGATGTGGTCACCCAGTCTATGCTTCATTTCCCCAGTGTAGAGGAGACCACACTGTGAGCAACGAATGCTGTAGATCAAATTGAGTGAAGTGCACGTAGGTGTGTTTGGGCCCTTGGATACTGAGGAGGGAGGAAGTAAACGGTTGCAGGGTAAGGTGCCGTGAGACTTTGGGGGCTTGTTGGGAGTGAAGGAGGAGTGGACAAGGTGTCCCGAAGGGAATGGTCATTGCAGAAGGCTGACAAGGGAGGGAAGGGGAATATGTGTCTGGTGCCGGCATCCCACTGGAGGTGACTGCCTCCAGCTCTACTCATCCCATGTGGATTCCAACTAAAGTTTCATCCTTTGTGTTTTGAATCCACCCAGGATCAAGATATCTCTGTGATGTTCAATGTTCCACACAGAGCTGTTCTCGCTGCATCCTCGGATCCACACTCAGTTTCATGTGTCGCCATATGCACACTCTCGACCTCTCTCTCCAAAAGCACTGTTTCACGCTATCTTAGAACTACACTGTTCCCCAGATCCACTTCATCCTCTGACTCATTCAATGTGCTAACAAGAAACTTTTCGTTGTTATGAGAGGTAACTTGGAGAAAAACGTGACTTCAAAGTATGAAGCTGCTCAGAAATGTTATGGTATGCTTTGTGTGACAGCTGGAACTTGAAGCTGAACTACCTGGCCCAAACGTAGGAAACACTATGTTGCTATAGGCCCTTTCAGGGGCAACTTTTAGATAGATTCATAGAAAATTTACAGCACAGAAAGAAACTCTTCTGCGCATTATGCCCATACTGGTTATCAAACATCCATTTATTCTAATCCCATTCTTCAGCACTTGGCCCATGGTCTTCTGGATATTTTCTCATCAAACTGTCCAGAAATGTTATGGAGCAGGTGCCACTGTTGGAGCACTACCACAAGAGCAACCTTTGTTTCAGTTTCTGGTTTGAGATGTCTGTCAGATATAAATCGGCAGACTGGAATGTGACCTGTACCTTTAAGGCAGGGAGGGGTGTGGCCTGGCGGCGGCGGGGTAACCAGGGAGACGGCGGGAGCGCTGGGCCTGGGAGGTAGCGACTCTGACTCTAGCCCAGGAGACAAGATGAGCACCGGACCGGTAGGTAACCTGCTCGACCCCCAACCCCACATTATTCCGGTCCATTCCCCGTTGGGGTTCCGGGGAGGCCAGGACCTGCCAAGTGGCCGAGGCCTACGGCAAACCCGCGGGTTGGGGGGGAGCTGGGGGGTCGGGGAGTGCATGGGTGAGGAGGGGAGAGACAGCGGGAAGGGAGTAAGGGATGGAGCGGGGGTG